TGTCTGTGTCTGTGTCTGTGTCTGTGTCTGTGTCTGTGTCTCTGTCCGTGTCCGTGTGTGTCTTGTGTCTGTGTCTGTGTGTCTGTGTCCGTGTGTGTCTCTCTGTGTCTGTGTGTGTGTGTGTGTGTGTGCGTGTGTGTGTGTGTGTGTGTGTGTGTGTGTGTGTCTGTGTCTGTGTGTGTGTGTCTCTGTGTGTGTGTGTGTGTGTGTGTGTGTGTGTGTGTGTGTGTGCGTGCGTGCGTGCGTGTGTGTGTGTTACCCGCAGGGCTCCGAGGTTCTCAAGAAGCTGGTCTGTATTGGAGACACCAAGAAGTACAGAACTGACCCCTTCACTACGCAAACACCACGCTGCGTGAGAGATTTCACAAAACGTTATCGTACACAAGCACTGGTTTTTATAAAGAACATCAGTGCAGAACATCAAAGCATTTGAAAGCACAGACCGTTCACTGTCCTTCTGATGCAGATCACACACAATCACAAGCACTTTCTGGGTCTGGCCTTCTCTAATCTGACTGGCTGGCTTTACATAACTTCCAGGAGTTGGGGAGCACATACAGTATAAGTGCGCCAATAGTACAGAGACACTCACCAATGGCGAGCTGAGCAGCCGTACAGCCCAGCCTGTCAGCCACCAGATGGAGCTCTTTGATTTTTGCCAGCTGTCTGCGTCCTTCTTCACTGAACACTCGCTCCTTTAGCCACTGATAGCCCTAATACACACAGTCACACACTGAACATTTATCATCGCTCACGTGGCTTTAGCAAGTACAGGACTGTCACTGAATTAGAATTAGACTTCAAACAGCACTGAGAAACTGAACAGAGATTCCCAGGGAGGAGAGACGATCTCCTGCTGTAGATGACTCACTTTAATTGCTGCTCTTGAACAGTCTGGAACACCATCACTGTATTTGCCAGTGATCAGCCCGCATGCCAGAGGAGACCAGGTCATGGCTCCAACACCTGGCGCAGCGTGGGACAGTCACAAGACATAGAGTTAGACTGGACATCTGTCCTAATCAAACTTCTAATCAAATAATTAAAATCACGAAATCAAGTCATTATTTTTAGAATGTATATAAACTGTAAAGTTGCACATTTAAAAGGATCAAGGTCAGATACGGTAAATATATCCAGCCGCTATATTCTGCATTGGCAAATTATAGCTTTGTAGTATGAAACATTTAAAAACATAAGAAATAATGCATTATATTGTATGTTTCACCAGACTTCAATTTAAAAGTATGTTAAATTATGTTTTAGTAAATATTTTGTGGTGCTTTAAAGATCTACACTTAAGTACTTGATTATAATTTGATTTATAAACACAGCTAATTCCATTTAATATATATGCATATTTAATCTAAAGGTATGTTTTCATTTAATTGACATGCAATTAAGTCTCCAAAAACATTACATTTCAGTTCACACTTTAAAGTATGAAATTTGAAAGTATGCTAAAGTGTGCTTGTTTCTTCCCAAGGTAATTCCTGACTGAATTTCATTGTAAGGTAACTCTTGTCGACTGACCGATCTTGTGGTAGAGCTCTGGCAGCTGCACTTCCACTTTATCCCTCTGGAAATAGTGATACTCGGCCTGTTCACATACCGGTGGGATTAAATTAAACTGCCTCGCTACAGAGTACGCCTCCTAAACTCACAAACACACAGACAACAAGGGGTTAAACCGTCCTTTCAATGGCCGAGAAAAACCAACGTAAACAGCAGTTCTGGGGAGCGACTAATAGAAGCGACACAATCAATTTATTGAGATTGTAGACAGTAGTTCATATATATTCATAATAACAGTGGAACTTTTCCAGTAACAGATACTTAACAGATAGGATAGGAAAAGCGGATGCAATAATCTACACCACAGTTTCCGCCACAGAATACAAATAATAATAATTAAATTATCTAATAAGGAAAAAAAGGCAACTTTTTTTCTCGCAATTCTGAGTTTATATCTCACAATTCAGAATGATTTTTTTTTTTTTTTTAGAATTGCAAGATATACATTTTCAAACTTGCAATTCTGACAAGGAAAAGTTTAAATATCAACTCATAGATATCAACTCGCAATTGTGAGTAAAAAAAGGGCAGAAATGTGAGATAAAAAGTTGCAAAAACCTTTTTTTATTCCATGGCAGGAAAAAAAACTGAATTGCGAGATGTAAACTTAAAACATTTTTTTTTTGTGCAAAAGTCAGAATTACAAGTAAATAGAAATGTGAGCCTGCAGCACAAAAGCAGTGTTAAGTCGCTGGGGGATATTTGTAGCAATAGCCAACTATACATTGTATGGGTCACAATTATACATTTCTCTTTTATGCCAAAAATCATTAGGATATTAAGTAAAGATCATGTTCCATGAAGATATTTTGTAAATTTCCTACCGTAAATATATCAAAACTTAATGTTTGATTAGTAATATGCATTGCTAAGAACTTCATTTGAAAAGGGCAGAAATGTGAGATTAAAAGTTGCAAAAACCTTTTTTTATTCCATGGCAGGAAAAAAAACTGAATTGCGAGATGTAAACTTAAAACATTTTTTTTTTGTGCAAAAGTCAGAATTACAAGTAAATAGAAATGTGTCCCTGGAGCACAAAAGCAGTGTTAAGTCGCTGGGGGATATTTGTAGCAATAGCCAACTATACATTGTATGGGTCACAATTATACATTTCTCTTTTATGCCAAAAATCATTAGGATATTAAGTAAAGATCATGTTCCATGAAGATATTTTGTAAATTTCCTACCGTAAATATATCAAAACTTAATGTTTGATTAGTAATATGCATTGCTAAGAACTTCATTTGAACAACTTTAAAGATGATTTTCTCAATATTTAGATTTTTTTGCACCCTCAGATTCCAGATTTTCAAATAGTTGTATCTCAGCCAAATATTGTCCTATCCTAACAAACCATACATCAATGGATTACCAACTTATATGTGTTTCAGTTGATGTAGAAATCTAAATTTTGAAAAATTTAACCTTATGACTGGTTTTGTGCTCCAGGGTCACAAATAAAAATCTAACACGATATTGCTGGATAGTACATTTAGTAGCTTGTAGTGTAACAAGCTACTTTCTCAAAGCAGTTGCTTGACTATGTCTTAACTACTTTAAATTGCTATAGTTGTGCAGTTTGTAAAACTTGTGGCTTGACTTACATGCATCATATTATGAGAAGCAGCTGCTGTGACATAGGAATGCTTTATGGTATGAATTTTGCTATATTGAGAGAAGATAAGACCGTACCATGATCTCCATGGCACTCCAGCGTGACGTGCCCCAGTACATGGCCATTCCCTGGTTTATAACAAATGTCATCGCTCGTACTACCTCTGCAAAGACAAACACACAACAGCGCTCGAGAGAAGCGATATGGCATAAATGACGCATGAAAGATGTCAGAGAAATGACAGACCTTCCATAGGGCTGTTCACATCGTTTCGGTTGGCGAAGACAATATCCACGTAATCCAGCTGTAGTCTAGACAGGGAACCTCTGAGACCTGTAGACACATCACCATCACTGTCCGTCCGCTTTATTATTATCATCATCGTGATAGTCATAAACAGCACTTTACCTTCTATGATGTGTTTTCTGGACAGGCCTCTCTCTGTCTCTGCCCTGAGGATTATGAACGCAAATGTCAGAGAGGAGAACTACGGAGTCAGAAAACCTCTCAAGACGAATCTATCCACAAAATGCAATCCATTTAAGTAGTACTGAGAATCTGCATGCTGGAACAAGCAGTCGAGATTTAATATTATTGATTTTAAATGCAATATGTGCATTTCATTTGTATATCACGAAAGCCCATTTCCGCAATTAAAAAAAAAAAAAAAAAAAGGGAATAGCGACTTTTTTCTTGCAATTCTGGAAAAAAAGTCAGAATTGTGAGATATAAAACTGCAATTACGAGAGAGAAAAAAAGTCAGAATTGCAAGTTTATATCTTGCAATTCTGAGAAAAAAGTCAGAATTGTGAGATAAAAAGTCACAATTACCTTTTTTTATTTAGTGGCAGACAACTGCTTCCATAGTATACTGTATATAGCTCACTAGTACATAGACATTTGTTTGTTTAATCATTCATTACTGTTGTTGTTTCAATGCACTGGAAGCTTATTCTGTCACCAAAATAAATTCCTTGTTTGTGCAAATCACAAAAATGAATCTCATTATGATTATGGCCAGTCATTCAGTTCATTTCCCTCAGCTCTGCCGCATTAGATTGTGGGGACTGGCATAAATACAGCTAAGCAGAGTATCTGCAAATGCATAAGCGTTCCAGTGCTGCATTGACAAATATCAACACTCTTGGAAAACAGTTTGGTTAGAGGACTGGAACTAACTTTTGCATAAAAATCTGCACAATTTTTTACCTTCACAAAGTCACTTTTTTTTCTTTTGCATTTATTGATGGTTGATTCACAAACTGCCACATACTGCATTTGCATCACCTCAGATGTGTGTATATTTTGAGACTTTACTAAATGATTATGATTCATAAATAGCTACGTATGTTCATTTTGACACTATTCTGAATCCTTTGTGTCGGGCTGAATAAACTGCATGATGAAACTCAACAGATACTCACTGTCCTCCCCAGTAGATCTTAGTCGTTACTACATAACTGGACCGTCTGAAACAGATTTTTAGGGACAAATGGTGGTTATTATATCGTGAGGACAAGCCTAATACTGTCTTATAATTTTATTCCTAAATTAATCCAAGATTGACCATAACCAGAGCACAGGAGAAATACTTGATAAAATGTAAAAAAACATTTTGCCACAGAATTAGTCAAAAATGAGAGACGTGAGAATAAAAGCAGGTCACCTCCAGCCTTTCTTCTTGATGATGTTCCCTAGAGTGATTTCAGCCCTGCGGAGAAAAAAAAAGGATACAAAATCTGAAAATATATTTTATGATTATTTCTATTACACTGCAAAAAAAAAAAAAAAAGGTCTCGATCTCAGTCTAGTTTTCCAGAAGATACCTTTACCTGAGAACCAAAAATGCAACGAGATATTACAGTGGTCATATTATATATTTTTTTATATTATAAAACATATATTCTATTACATTTTCAGAAATTGCATGCATGCATTTTATCCTGTTTGACTTGTGTAAATCATAAATGCCACTTAATGTCATTGTTTTCTTACTATCCCTACGCAGTGCATTTAAAGTGACCTGGCTACTAGCACTGTCTATTTCCAAACTGTTTTTTAAATCAATTGATAAATTATTATAATGTGTTACAAAATACACAGTGCCATGTCATGTCATGCATTAACCCTATGCCATGCTTTTAAATATATTTGTATTTGCACATGCGTGTTTATGAAGTTGCAACTTTTTAATTGCAATACTGAATAACTCACTATTGTTACAATCCAGTATTTTACATGTGCTTTAGTATGCTAGTCAACACATCAAAATAAGTGTATATCTCGACAAAAGATTATTAAAGCAATGCTGAAATGTTAAAAATGTCCGTTTTTAATTTGACTATCACAAAGCACACTTTTTAAAAGTCTACTTAAATGTGTTAAAAAAACATAGTCATGAAAGCGTCTCTCTTCAGTACATTTAAGTGGCCTTTTATTTCATGACTATTATTATATACATACAGTGGGGCAAAAAAGTATTTAGTCAGCCACCAATTGTGCAAGTTCTCCCACTTAAAAAGATGAGAGAGGCCTGTAATTTTCATCATAGGTATACCTCAACTATGAGAGACAAAATGAGAAAAAAAAATCCAGAAAATCACATTGTAGGATTTTTAAAGAATTTATTTGCAAATTATGGTGGAAAATAAGTATTGGGTCAATAACAAAATTTAATCTCAATACTTTGTTATATACCCTTTGGTGGCAATGACAGAGGTCAAACGTTTTCTGTAAGTCTTCACAAGGTTGTCACACACTGTTGCTGGTATTTTGGCCCATTCCTCCATGCAGATCTCATATAGAGCAGTAATGTTTTGGGGATGTCGCTGGGCAACACGGATTTTCAACTCCCTCCAAAGATTTTCTATGGGGTTGAGATCTGGAGACTGGCTAGGCCACTCCAGGACCTTGAAATGCTTCTTACGAAGCCACTCCTTCGTTGCCCGGGCAGTGTGTTTGGGATCATTGTCATGCTGAAAGACCCAGCCACATTTCATCTTCAATGCCCTTGCTGATGGAAGGAGGTTTTCACTCAAAATCTCACGATACAGCATGCTCAACACAATTAAGTGCGCTTCTTTCTCACAAAATACATTCAGAAAAAAACCCAGATCTATGTCTGTCGGATACAGTATAATCACTTTTATATCCACTGCATCGGTGGGAATCTTACCTGCCTGAAGCGTACACTTCCGCTGTGTCGAACAGATTGACTCCATTCTCATACGCTATCGTCATCACACTCTCTGCCATCTACAGAAAAACATCCACACGCAGAAGATGACAGAGATCTGGCCATTTAAAGACACGATCTTGGTGCAAAGCGTTTCAGTTACCACAGAACAATGATTTAAACTCATGCAGACTAGCATGCAGTAGCTATTTATGTTCGCTTATTGACTTCCATTACATGCAAAAAAATGCATTTTTCAAAATTATCTTTTATGTTTCACAAAGTCATACAGGCTTGGAACGACACGAGGGTGAGTAAATGATGACAGCTTATTTATTTATTTGTTTGTTTGTTTGTTAACTCTTCCCTTAAGTGTGTCAATAACATACATAAAACACTGGAGTGAAATTAAGCAACATTTATCCTGAACATTACGATTCACCTCATCAGAGATCTGAGATCCAAATGTCACCCAGGTACCTGTGGACAGAAAGAGAGTGAAGATAAGGCGTAAAACACAGATTGGAGAGGGCTGGGATGCATAAAATGCAAGAGAAAAAAAATGTGCCAAAGATAAGAAACATCACAACTTATTTCAGTTGTTACACAGGAATTAAAACGTAACTATGAAAAAATACCCAATGAATCATCAACTTGTCTCTTTTAAATTTTCAGAAAACATCTCGACAATGTCCAACACAAACTAAGTATGAGCAATATATTTTTTATCTTAATGTTACTTAGTTGAGAGTGCATTAACTAATGCTAACATACTTTTTGATTTTAAAAACGTCTTAGTAAATGTAGAAATAAGCATGAGCTAAGTTAATAAATGCTGTTGAAGTGTTGTTCATTGTTAGTTCATGCTAACTAATGTAGTTAACTGCAGTAATATTAATAAATGAATTTGAATGAAATTATAAAGTGTTACAAGAATTGGTCAAATAATAATCGATTTCAACAGGTTTGTCTGCCATTGGTTAGAATGCAATGCTGTGACTTATTAATAGTCGTCAGTGCATAAGCTGGGATAAAGAAAGTATTTAAACATGGAAAAAATAGACACTTCAGCTTTAAATAAATGACTGACTTCAGATTAAACCTTGAACAGTTTCAGTCTTAAACAGAGATGACTGAAAATCACTGGTTACTCACCAAGACCCAGGCAAGAAACACGTAGACCCGACTTTCCGAGGTTTCTGAGAGAGAAAATGAAAGAAAGAGAGAAAATTTAGTCATTTAAACTCTGCTTTTGATGTAGTTTTATCAAATTAAGATTTGCTTAATGATGTGCTATATTGTCAGCATGCTTTAACTGTAACTGTATTCATTTGCATCGAACAGAAAAATTAAATCAGTAATTCTGCATATTCTTCATATTGCTTACATAAATACTAAGTTCTGTCATGAAACTCTAGATGGTCCTTAACGTAACTGATGATATTCTTAGCACTAAACGACTTGTCACAAGCTGACTGGTTCACGTTGCATTTGCAGCCAATGAGCTTGCTGCGTTACATTTAAATGGCTGATTAGCATTCGCTTGAGAGTTCCTCTGAAACCCTCCACCTCCCCCAGCTCCACCTGTATAGATCTGCTGCGGATTATTTTATATGCTATTTGTGCCGCAGCACTTAAATCCTTAAAGGGGTCATATGATGCTGCTAAAAAGAACATTATTTGGTGTATTTGGTGTAATGAAATGTGTTTATGCGGTTTAAAGTTCAAAAAACACATTATTTTCCACATACTGTACATTATAGTTTCTCTTTTATGTGCTATTTTGCAACAGCGCTATGTCTTAAATACTCTCAGCACCATATCGGCTCATGTATTGGCAGTAGCAAGTTCCTGTACTTGCTTGCAGCAGCAGCAACAATAATCTACAAATACAGCAAAAAAAACAAAACCATTGTAAAATGGCTAATAATAGATAAAAGTGTTGAACGCTAGTGTAGCACCCTTGGTGTTTTAATTACAGATGCATGCTGTTCGTGAGAACACCAGTTGAAGATCCGCCTGTTTTTCATTTCAACCGCTGCTCGCTTACGTGTCCGATAGAAACAGAGAGATAGAAAGAGACAGACTGTCAGCGCATTTAGATCCAGGCGGCTGAACCACGCTTTCTCTTCTCTGCATCTATTTTTGTTTGCCCGGCCAGTCTATTTATAGATTGGTTGCAACTGTGCGTTTGTTTGCATCCAGTGTGTGTGTCCGTGTGTGTGTGTGTGGAATGGACTATTCATTATATTGATATAGACATATTACCAGCCAAGACTGTGAGGAATTGTTAAATTAGTAGCATGAATCATTAATTTGATCTAAAAAAGCTGAGAAAAAAAGGCACATCTATTCATCACATGAGAGGACTGGGTAAGAGAGGTAGAGAAAGCTGCAAAGCTCTTTCTCGTGGACACAAATATTTCACTTTCACTGTCATCCTTCATTTTTATCTTTCTCCAACCTTTCCCTTTTTCCACAGTGCTGCATTAGAGCGCTGAATTACACACACACATCTATATGCATGTATATGATGAGAAGCCGCAGGGAAGAAAACATGAAGATCATGGTGCTGAATATTCACAGTCGATGCTGCATGATTACATGCACGCACGCACACACACACACACACACACACACACACACACACACAAACACACCCACACACACACACACACACACTCACACACACACACAC